CCTTGAAAAACGAGGACATCTGAGATGTTCAGGAGTTCAATGCCGCATCCTGGGAACAGATGCAGCGGAGGCGAAGGAATTGGGAATAGGGGATGGCATTTTTGCAGGAAGGTGGGTGGGAGGAGATGTGTTCTAGGTAGCTGTGGGAGTCGGTGGGTTTGAAATGGATATCAGTTTCCAGGTGGTTGCCAGAGTTGGAAACAGAGAGGTCCAGAAAGGAGAGAGAGGTATCAGAGATGGTCCAGGTGAACTTAAGGTTGGGGTGGAAGGTGTTGGTGAAGTGGATGAACTGTTCGAGCTCTTCGTGGGAGCATGAGGCGGCGCCAATACAGTCATCAATGTAATGGAGGAAGAGGTGGGGTTTAGGGCCAGTGTAGCTTCGGAAGAGGGATCGTTCCACGTAACCTACAAAGAGGCAGGCATAGCTTGGGCCTATGCGGGTACCCGTGGCCACCCCCTTTGTCTGTAGGAAGTGGGAGGAATTGAAAGAGAAGTTGTTGAGGGCGAGGACGAGTTTAGCTAAGCAGATGAGGGTGTCAGTGGAGGGGGACTCGTCAGGCCTGCGGGACAGGAAGAAGCGGAGAGCCTTTAGGCCATCTGTATGGGGAATGCAGGTGTATAGGGACTGGACCTCCATAGTTAAGATGAGGTGTTGGGGACCAGGGAATTGGAAGTTTTGGAGGAGTGGAGGGCGTGGGTGGTGTCTCGGACGTAGGTAGGGAGTTCCTGGACCAAGGGGGAGAAAATGGAGTCTAGATAGGTGGAGATAAGTTCGGTGGGGCAGGAGCAGGCGGAGACAATGGGTCGACCAGGGCATTCAGGTTCGTGGATTTTGGGAAGGAGATAGAATTGGGCGGTGCGGGGTTGGGGAACGATGAGGTTGGAGGCTGTGGGTGGGAGGTCACCTGAGGTGATGAGGTTGTGGATGGTTTGGGAGATGATGGTTTGGTGGTCGGGGGTGGGGTCATGATCAAGGGGGCGGTAGTAGGAGGTGTCGGAGAGCTGGCGCCTGTCCTCGGCGCCATACTACAACAGTGCCTCCCTTGGCTGCGGGTTTTCTGGTGAGGTTGGGATTGGAGTGGAGGGCTGCACGTTCTGTGGGGGAGAGGTTGGAGTGGGTGAGAGGGGTGGAGAGGTTGAGGCGATTGATGTCTTGACGGCAGTTGGAGATGAAGAGGTCGAGGGAGGGTAAGAGTTTACTTTGTGCCTTGAATTAACTTTATTTTTGGGCTTTTCAGTACAAAAGGATGCTTCGTCTTGACTTTTCCTCTTGTATTAAGTATGCCAGTTTAAATACGCACTGAAAGAAAGCCTTGCATTTATATAGTGCCATTGGATGACCTAAAGTGCCAATAAAGTACTTTTTTGGAAGGTAGCCACTGTTTTATCTAGGAAACACAACAACTACTTTGTGCAGAGCGATGATGATGACGAGATAATCTGTATTTATAATGTTGATTGGGGAATAAGTATTGTCCATAGCAATGGGGATGCTCCTTTAACTCTTCAAAATTGTACTGAGTTCTTTCACATCCATGACAGGACAAAAGTGGCATCAGTTTAAAGTCTTATCTGAAAGAGAGTTGTACTTATTGTGAAGTAGTCTGTAAGAGTAGTATAACATGCTAACGTTATACTTTCAACTCCATTTCTATAATCTTGGCAGTGTTCCTACTGAAAGGCCACATGAACTTTCACCACCTCACCTTAATCTCATTCAATTTCATCTATTTGGGCATTTGTGACAGAGTACCATAGGAAAAAAGATTGTGTATCTCAACAGGTTTTCTGGTATTATTCATGACATAGTGAACTTGCCACCAAGCAGATAACTGAAAGCTTGGTTTGGGATTCTGGCAATATTCTATTGCAGCTTCTATTCAGTGTTAAACTTAACTGAGTTTTATGCAAGTATGCAGTTCATAGTAACTTGTATGAAGGGAATTGCATGTATTCTATGGTGTGTTTCCATATAAATTGCTTGTTGCCAGATCAGAAATGTTAAAGCACCAAGGCACAGTTATGATAAGGAAATAGATGAACATTATATATGTGAATACATTTGGAATCTAGCGATGTATTTCAAAGCTAAATATCTCATCATATTTTGCTACTTACAAAATAATGCAGTAATTTATTAGAAAAAGCAAGCTTCCTCTTCAAGCATGTTGAGTTTATGAAAGAAGCAGTGAGGCTACTTATTTAAGGGTGTCAGATTCCATAAGCAACCAGTGAAGCACCATGAGATTTGGCAGTATCTTTAAATGACCTTAAAACTAATGAAAACTGTAATGAAGGAGCTGTAGCACTGTTGTAATAACAGTCTATTTGTAGCCATGACTGACATTGTCCAGAAATAAAGGGATTCTCTCTGAGTGATGTGATTTTAGTAATGCCTCTGCCAGTTCTGTTGTTTCAGTCAAGAAGGTACCTTTTGGCAAAATCTCAGGTCTTGAAGAACTTGATGCTCGTTTCCTATGATGAGGCAGAAGTTGATTCATGACCAAGATTGTTGATTTGAGGTTGGTTAGAGAAGCAAATGTTACTATAAGGTAGGGGTGGAGGTTAGACAGACCTTAGGATTGGGATAAAAGTTCGGCACAACATCGTGGGCCGAAGGGCCTGTACTGTACTGTGCTGTATTGTTCTATGTTCTATGTTCTATGTTCTATGTTCTATGTTAAGTCAGTCTGTAAACCTTTAAGCACTGTTAAAAGCCCCCATCGGTGGGCAGTGTTTGAATTGTTTGATCACTGCTATCACTGAATATCTTCCTTCCAAGACCTACTCAGGAAAGATGTCTTGGCCGCTTGTTGTTTTCATCAGTGGTTTGCTCGGGCTTGTTAAAAGTGATCAAATTTCACAAATGACTAATTCCTGACCAAAAGTTGAGCAGCTGCTGAAAACCTGCAAGGGGGTGGAAAGAACAAGATAATTGGAGCCAGTGTTCCATGAATCATTGATTACAGAAGATGGTCTTTGGCCCATTGAATCTTCGCCAACAAAAGCTTCTCTGTATCTACACAAGTCCTACTTGCCAGCAATTCGCCCATAACCTGAATGTTATAACCCCTCAAGTGCTTATCCAAGTATATTTTTAAAGAACAAAAACAAAGTTGCTGGAAAAGCTCAGCAGGTCTGGCAGCATCTGTGAAGGAGAAAACAGAGTTAAAGTTTCGGATCCGGTGACCCTTCCTCAGAACTGATGGGCTGCACCACTCCGCAGTTCCACTTCATCCTCCGGCTCATTTGTCATGCTAACAAGAAACTTTTTCTTTTCCTTTCAGGCATCAAGGCCCACAAGATGCAACAATTTAAAAATACCCATGGCCCTCTGGAACCTACCTCTCCTCTCCTCCCCTTCCCTCTGACTCTATCCCCTCCTCCAACACCCCCACCTCCTGTCGGGTATTCACCAACCCCCTAACCTTCCACTCTCCGATGCTGAACGCTCTGTACACAGCAAAGGCCTCGGCTTTATCCCTCTGCGTTCCCACCACCATCAGTTCTGAGGAAGGGTCTCTGGACTCGAAACGCTAACTCTGTTTTCTCTTTCACAGATGCTGCCAGACCGGCTGAGCTTTTCCAGCAACTTTGTTTTTGTTCTTGATTTACAGCATCCACAGTTCTTTCGGTTTTTATCTTTTTAAAGTTTGAGGTTTTCTGCTTTAACTACCTTCCCAGGCAGTGCATTCCAGATTCCCACCACCCTCTGGGTGAAAAGATCTCATGGTTTTCACCTTAAAATTATGGCCCCTTGGGGTATTGATCCTTCAACTAAGCGGAACATCTGCTTTCTATCATCCTTATCCAAGCCCTTCATATTCTTACGCACCTCAAACGTGTGTCCCCTCAGCCTTCTCAGGTCTAAAGAAAGCAACCTGAGGTTCTCCAGCTTCTCGTCATAGCTAAATTGCTCCATCTCGGGCATCTTCTTGATGAATCTCCTCTATGCCCCCTCCAGTGCAATCACATCCTTCCTATAGTGTAATGACTGGAACTGCAGACATACTCCACCTGTGGCCTAACCACAGTTTTTTACTGCTATTGTCAGTGTCCCAACTGATGAAGACAAGTGTCTATGCACTGCCTTACTACCCTGTTAACCTGTCCTGTTACCTGTTGTGTTAAATGATCAGGAGATAAGGGTCTAAGCTATTATTTTGAAGCTCTTCTGTCCAACATGCTGAGGGAATGTTGAATACCTCCAAGAAAGAATGTAGAAACTTTCCATACATTAATGTTGGTGTAGATATTTTCTAAATAACGTGTTCAGAGATCTTGTCACATACCTCTGGAGCAGATGGGAGTTGAACCCAGGCCTCAGCTTGGAGGAAGGGACACTACCACTGTGTCACAAGACCCATAATTAACATTGGTATAGTATTAGTCAGAATGTGTAATTCATAAATTTAAATAATATTTGAACAGTAGTTAATAATGTTACCTATGCACAGTTGCTCCAATGATTGTAAACTTCCTAACTACATACGATTGGTTCCTTACCTTCTATCTACAGCGCTTATCAGTAGCAAAGATCCATGCACAATTCCTCCCTTTAAAGTGAATGCTGAATCAATAATTTTGCTGGACAGTGGTTAAATCAGCAAAATTTAGCTGCTGAGGACGTTACCAAGTCTTTTTTTATTCTCTGAACAAACAGACTAAATATCGTGAAATATTCAGATTGCAATATAAATGCCTCTTGGCAGACCTGTTAAACCATCCAAAAATCCAGAAGCTTTATACTATATGTGCAGCCCTCAACCGAAGTTCAGCAAAGAATATCCATTTTTTTGGGCTATAGCAAAAGCAATGTTTCTGTGTATTCTTGGGTGTGAGTAGAAGACTTGCATTATAAAATAGAAGGAGTGCTTAGTTCACAGGATGAGGAAAGCTGCCACATCTGTAACATGTTGAGTGGGAAGTGCCTTGTGGAAGTTAGTGCCTTCCATGGAGGAATTGTAAAAAAAGGACTCGGGGAGGTAGTAGGATGGAAACTATATCTGTTCATTCTTTCTGGCAGCTAGCTACAAGTTGCAATGATGTTCTACTCTTGACTGTATTGCAAGACTCCTGGTGAACGGAGTAAAGGAATTGAAGTCATATGGGAGTGACTAAAGAGGCAAATATGACCTGGAATATACTGTTTTCAAATCAGTCAAAAAGGACTGAACGTGACAACATGAAGAGATTTCTCAACCTTGAAGCATACTTTACTTTTGGTCTTTTTCATACAGAAATTAGAAGTACTTGATGACGATGCAGTTGAAATGAGCAGTTGTGACCGTGTAACACCTGATGGTGAGCAGCTCCAGAAACAACTAACTCTTAGGGTAAGATCTGTCTACATTAGAGGAAATTAGATTATTGTCCACACATGTGCCAACTTTTATATGTTTACGGTTATTTATTTTTCATGATTTTTTGCTGAATGAGATGTTTGCCAGAGTCAATGTTGAAAAGAAATCTTGGATTAGTTAATCATATAATTACCAGAGACAACTGCAACAATGTTTGCTTATAATGCCAAGCTGATTGAGCTTGATGTTAGTGAAAATCTGGTTTTCAATTTTTCATCATTTATATCAAGAATTTTTTGTGAGTCTCTGTTTTCTAGGATGGGTTTCATTATGATGTTCCAATGTATAACATTATGTACTGGAGGATATTTGGTTATAACTACCCTGTGTCAGTTCGCAGCATTCTTCAATCATTTCTCCATTTTCACATGTACTGACATCTTGAGTAACATGCAATTTTGTACAATTGTAAATTATAGTCATGAGGCTCTCTTGCTTAGATGTAAATAGGCAGCTCCATTGAGTCAGAATTCAAATGTTGTAGTCCTTCGCTGATAATTATGTGAATTTGAGTTTATTTTCAGATTTTTTGTTTGTAGTGTTGCCTTGGAAATAGAAAAGGAAAGAAATAGCCTGGAACAGGGTAATAAAGACAATTTTGAAACAAAGAAGGGAAAAAATAGAACCCAAGAGTAATTGTAGAGAATGACACCTTGTACTATCAAGCATTGTATTTCAAGAATAGTTACAAATGAACATTGATCTAATTTATAAATTTGACATTTTTTAAACAAAACAGTAGCCGATACCTTTTCATCGAATGTCTAATCTACTTGTACAGTCTTGTTATTGGAGTGAATGCAATTAGATCAAAAATCTGGGGCTGAACCGGACCGTTTGCCACCTTGATGTCAGATTTAACCCCAAGGTGAGCTTTTGATCTCAAGTCCGCACCTTTGCTAAATAGGTCTATGCTGACCTCCATAATATTATCTAACTCTCCATTCCCTTGGCTCCATTTGTGAATGAATCCCTCACCTACGCCATTCATACCCCTGAACCCGTTTACTCCAATGAATTCCTGGCAGACTTTCCATTTTCCGTCCTCTGTAAAATTGAGCTGAATACACTCCTGCCTGTGTACTAACGTGCAATATGTTCTGTTCACCCATCATCCATGCTTGGTGATCATCTTTGACTCCCAGTCAATCTGAGCTTTCATTTTGAAATTCTGCATGATTATACTAAATCCTGTATGGCTGCCGCACGTACACAGTCAAGGCCAGTGATCAAACTTTGCCACAGCAGAATAGGCAGCAGGAAGCATTGCTAATTTTATCGTGTTGTGTGCCTTTCCTTGTTGAACGTACTCCTCAAAATCCAGCCCATCCCTTTGATCAAGCCTTTGATCATCTGCCCCAATGTGACTTAGAATTAGAATTCGAGCACTAACACCTGAAGAAAGACTGAGGCTCTGAAAGCTTGTGTTTTCAAATAAACCTGTTGGACTATTACCCGGTGTCATGTGATTTCTGACTTTGTCTGCCCCGGGCCACAACTCCACATCATCATAATCTCAAGTGACAGCACTCATGCCTGATATTCATATGTTCGCCCTCATCTTTGCACACTTAACACTGTTGTAAGCTTCAATCCCACATCTTGCAGTTTCTACACTGTATCAGCTGTTCAATCATTATGGTAGCCATGTCACCCAAGCACCTTGTAACACAGCTATTGATGTTCCCACCACCCATCCCTCCCAAAGCGCACACCACATGCATGCTGGCTCGCTTGCTAGACATGTTTGCATGTAATGGGGCAGCAATGGAGAATTTCTGCTGCTAGCACTGGTTAGGAACACTGGACAAGGCAAACGTAACCACAAGACATGTGATGCACAAGGGTAAATTTTTCTGTTTCCTATTATTAGAAATGTTGAAATTTCTTCTTTTCAAGATTTTGGTGAGTCAGTCTGAGATTGCCTGTGTGAAGTAGGGAGAGATAGGTGTAGAATTATACATGTGAGGTGAAGTTTGAATGATTTTAGCAGAGCCAGAGGCTGACTAACTGATCACTCACTGACTGACAGGCTGACAAGAATAACAAGGCCTGAGATATCTCTGCCACCTTCTCTTCCATCTGGGTTGCTTGGCTGAGTGCTGTGCCACAGTGAGAGCCGGGTTGAATAGCATGGAGTGGGGCACCACCCGTTCGGAGATATTCTCCGGCGAGTATTCTGGGGCTCCTGACAAGTGATCCAGGCAGTGGCCAAGTTTTAGAACATCGATGGTTTGTTCCATGTTGTTGGTTCTGGTGGCATGGTTCCCATCTGAGCTGTGGCCACATGTAGCTAACTTCCTTCCAACATGTGGAAACTTTGTCACCTCACAGATATCCTGTAGTTAGTTGTGCTAACTTTGGACATGGTGGAACAGCTGAATGGCACAAGATGAAAGCATCCTGGCCCCTGTCAGGATAGCTGACATTCTACTGGCATATGCCAACTGCGCAGTTCAGGTATATTTCCCTGTTGAACTCTGGTACTTGTGCACCCAAGCGTGTGCACTTGATACCTCACCCTGTCCAGTTCGCTTTGCCAGTGTTTTGCATCACCATGTGCTGATTCCTTCGGCATCTCTCCTATTACAGAAACTACAAAGTCCCCCCTCCTGGCCTACTAGGAATCTGTTACTTCTTGGATGCAATAACACAGTGAGTTGGAGGTACAGTATTGGCAGTGCTGCCAGCTCTGGCTAAAACCAATCAGGCACTGGAGGCACCGACAGCCACTGTCCTGTGGCTGCAGGTCCAAACGGAGGTGATGGTACAGTTCAGTAACTACTAGGATGAATCACAACTGCTTCTGACACTTCTTAACTGAGGTAAAGGTAGAGGAGGGGCTCTTAACAGCCATTTCTGGAGTCAACCTTTTTTATTTTGAGCCCCCCTCCCACACCCCTGGAGTTCTGCTTCGGGGCACAGCTTCACCTGTCTGCTGCAGCCCCCATTAGTGATCATATGCTTTCAAACTCCACTGAACTTGGAAAGTTGAAGCACCACTGAACGTATGTTCGGGTGAGAAGAGTGGTAATGGAGGGATGATACCATCGCCTATAGACAGCAAAATGGCAAATTGGAAGCCAAAGGAAGCAGTGATGTTGTCATGATTTTCTTTGTCTCTGTACTTCTGGTGCATACATAGATTCCCCGCCCAGATACCTTTGCCAACACTGGAAGTGACCAGAATTCAGTCAGTGATTTTGAATATTCATCAGTGCCATTGACATGCCTCAATTTTTATGTGCAAAATAATGTATAAAAATTGCATACTGCTCCAGAATTTAACAATTTGTGGTTTAGTCTCAGGATAAGAGGTCAATCATTTCAAACTTCCTTGAGAAATCTCTTCATACAGATGATTGTGAATCTTTGGCATTCTGTACCCTACTGTTTTAAACATATTTAAGGCTAAAATAGTTTTCTTTTGTCTCTTGATGAGTGAGTGAGAAAATGGAATTAAGACAGAAGATCAGCCATGATTACATTGAATAATGGGTCAGTCTCAGAGGATCCAATTGGCTGTTCTTATGTGGGACAATGATTATCCTTCTCTTGCAACTGCAGTGTTGTACAACTGTATCCTATTCTTCATCCTGTCTTAATTTTGAGTCAGAAGGTTGAGGATTTAAACTCTAATCTAGATTTTGAATGTGTAATTGGTCATTGCAACTGAGGCAAGGAGATTGATGGGGGTATCATTTGTTTTTTAAAAAAACAGCAGGTAAACATTTGTCTGAACAACGGGAGTTCATTTTCTTGCTGTGTACCCATGCTATCTGTATTGTATGCAAGGTCCAAGTCTGTTTTATTTTAATGCTGTTGCTTCTTCTTTTCAGAATGATAAAATTAGGTACCTTGAGAATGAACTGGAGAAACAAAAACAGAAATACCTCCATCTTCAGAATTTTACTACAAGTTTAGTTCTTGCAGTCAAAACAAATGACACAGAACAGCAGCAGGTAGGTCTGGTGCTGCAGCAGAGTGTGCACTCTGATCTTATTCTTGACCAAATGTGCAGGGTTGTTCAGAATGCTGCTGTGATGTTAGTTTGAGAAAGATCAAATAAACTCGTTAAAATAATCAACGAGAGAGAAATGTAATAACTTCATAAATTCTCAGTTGGCTGAGATGTGCCAGTAGTTAGCCACATTAGTATGGAATAAGGCAAGTGGTGAATTGCTCTTTGCAGGCAGTTGTGATCTAACAGCGATAACACATTTGTGGTGTTTCTTGAATAAATTTTAAAAAATTGAACTTGTCCTGTCGAGTGCTGTGCAACTGTTAAATCAAAGGTTACGTAGTATGTAAAGCTTGATGTTGAATTTTACCTCGATTTATAAAGAAGCGATTGAAATTTCTGATATGAGAAGCAGATGTTGAATTCAAAAATATTTTGTTACAATGAAGTTGCTTCAGCAGGAGATTGCATGTTCTCTACTTACGCTATCAGAATACTGCAGAAAATCTGCATTTTGTAGAATCATAGAATGGTTACAGCACAGAAGGGCATTCACATTGCCATGCCCATGCCAGCTACCTGCAAGACCAATTTATTTTATCCCATTCCCAGACCTTACCCTGTGAGCCCTGCAAGTATTTTCTCTTTAAGTTCTTAGCCAGTTTCTTTCTCAAAACCACAATTGAATCTACCCTCATGACCCTCTGTGCATTCCAGATCCTAACTATTTGCTATGTAAAATTCAGGTTTCCCACACATTGCCCTTGATTCTTTTACCTTGAATCTGTATCGTCTAGTTCAATCATACTCCTTCTTGTCTAGCTAGATCCTTAATGCATTTGATGTTCTTAACTTTCTCCAAGGTTAATAACCGCGAGTGTTCAAATAAACCCAGATGAGTGCAGTCCCTCATCTTGGGCCATTATTGTAAATCTTTCTTGCACCCTCCCTAATGCCTTCACAATCTTTCTAAATATTTCCCCATGACTGGACATAAGACTTCTATTATATCAAATTTATGGTTTTATAAAGCTACACTATAACTTTCTTACTATAATATTCCATGCCTCCGTTTGCCCAGGATCCCTTGTGTTGTTTTAATCACATTGTAAATCTGTTCTGCTACTTATAAAAATTTTAACGCACATATTGCCAGCTCTCTGTTTTAGAGTATTCCTCCTTATGTCATATCTCCATGTTTTCCTAAAGTTCTCTGCTTTACGTTTAACTTGTACACAACTGTTGATTCCACCATCAGTCAGTATTTTGTCTATATCCTCATGAAGTCTGCCACTTTCCTCCTCACAATACTTTTAAGTTTTCTGTTTCTGGTTGATTATACTAAATTCAAACAGAATTATCGAGTAATAGGGTGTGCATAAATTAGCTGTGTGAATTGTATGGGTCCACTCTATATAAATTCTAAACGTCTGTGACTTCTTTGGGGTATATGAGGATTTTAAAATGACAATTCAAAAAAAAAATTAACTTTTGACAAGCATTCTTATAAGATGAAGAGGATTTGATAAAATGCAAAATGATTGAAGTTCCACAAACTCTTGTTTCATGCTCTAGTTATTAGTTGTTTCTCAACCAGATACTTAGTTCAGTTCCATTTTCAGTTTTTGATAGCTGCTGATACAGGTATTTATAAAGAATGTTGACGTTTTCTTATAGATGTTGCTGACAAACTTGCCTCCTGACACTGAATGCAACTTGGATTCACCTGGCAACCGGGAACAAAGCTAATTAGATTTCCTCTGTATCAGAGGATCTTGCTGAGTGTGAAACATCCTTTTGGAAGTGGTAAAGACTTCTTTAAATTGTTTGTATCAATGTTAAATCTTTTACATGTTTTAAAAACAAGACTGCTTGTGCTACAGCTTGATCACGAGATGAAACAACTGCAGAATAAAATGGATTTTGTTAGCTGTCGTTGTTTTCTTTGATTGGGAGATGGGAGGCATTAGAGGCCATAGTTTGGCTAATGAACATTAAATGCTGCAGAGCATTAAAAACTTCGCCCCAAGTTCTCAATGGATACAGACATTCTAGTTACCTTTGGATGCAGAATATTGTCCCTACACCGGAATGTATTCTCACCGTATTTCAGCTTCAAATAGGCATGCAGAGTCCTGAGCTCATGAAAGACACTGTAGGTGCAGGGTATTTTATTTTACCCTGTCCTGTCTTCATTGAGTCTGTGCATGAGCACCAACAGGTTTCTGAGGTAGTAGAATTGTGGCCTGTGAATGAGGAATGGAAGGTAAGGCTATTCAGCTCCTCCAGGATTATGCACCCTATTTCCAAGACAAATAAAAACACCGTCATGTCAAATATGCTCAAAGCATCCACTCATTGAAAGAAGCGAACACAGTGGAACAATCCTGGCTCAGAGAGTGACATTGCTGAAGAAATTCTGGACAATATTGTCAGGCTTTTCTTTCCTCAAGCAGTTAACTTGGCTCTGAAGTGACATTTAAATACAAGTAAGTAAATACATGACCAGTTCTTCTGAAATCCCTACAACATATTTTAAGGGTTCATTCCTTTTATTTTAACCAACAATTCAATACTCTTGGTTAAAATAAATTGTTTTAGATTTTGTGCTTGAAGTGACTGTTAGTTATGGCTTCTCCCACATCCTTACCCCAACCCTCTCACTCCAGGCCTTGTTATCGCATTGTCTGCTATTACTCACAACCCATTATTAGCCTCTAATAGTCGCATTAGTAGCCATTCATTCTCCAAGGCTGACTATTATCCACTCCTTTGTCTGTCCAATTGTTTTTCTGAGGAAGGGTCACCGGACCTGAAATGTTAACTCTGTTTTTTCCTTCACAGATGCTGCCAGACCTGCTGAGCTTTTCCAGCAACTTTGTTTTTGTTGCAATTGTTTTTCTCTCTCTTTGGGCTCTATCGCCACCTGTCATTTACTTCTTAACCCCTATCTTCTGTGTACAAATCAACCCTTTCCTAGCTACCATCAGTTCTGAAGAAAGGCCACTAGAACCAAAATGTTAGCTCTGATTTCTCTTCGCAGATGCTGCCAGACCTACTGAATTTTTCCTGCAGTTTCTGCTTTTGTTTCTGATTTCTAGTACTGGCAGTTATCATTAAGTCATTGTTAATGGCTTAGTGGCTTCACAGCAACTGGTTTACTGTCCATTTATCTCAGTGAAAAATGAAAGAATCTCAGTTTGCCCAATCTGTTAACACCCTAGTGAATCCTGGGGGGGGAGTCAGTCCAAGTAAAGCTGAGTACATCTATAGTTATAATTCAGCAACTCTATTTTTAATTCATTTTTATTTATCTTTTGCATGAAAATTAGTATACATGGGATTAGCAGATTGTGATGTGCGAAAGCCCTTCTACCATTTTGTTTTGTAGATAGTTTTATTAATTTATATGGGACATTGATGTGAACGTTGGTCTGAGATGCTGCATTGGTGATAAATACTATTTTAAATTGAGAGCAAAAACAGAAATTGCTGGCAGAACTTATCAGTGCAGTTCTGATGAAGATTCACCAGGCTTGAATTGCTAATCCTGCTTTCTTCCCACAGATGCTGCCATTTCTGTTTTTGTTTCAGGTCGCCAGCATCCACAATTTTTTGTTTCATTTAACTTGAAAGGCCTTGGTTAGGCAATGGTTGGACCTGTTGTCGTGTGTTTTTAAAAGGCATAATTTTAGTATCCCACTTGCAGGTTTCCTGATCAATCAGAGGGCAGGTGGAATGGTGCACTGAAGCTGTCAAAGGAGGATTTCCAATTCAAGGGAACATGGACTGTTGTGTCACAACTGCATGTCTCTCTGTATTTTCACCATGACTGCTTGTCATGTCATAAGCCTGCATTAGATATAGCTTTTATACAGTCATGGTTTTAGGGAAGCTATTCCAATGTGTTTTAATGTATTAGTCCATTTTAATTAAATTGGCACAGACCAGAAGTAAAACAAGCTCAAACTACAAACTTTGCAGTTCTGAGTTGCTAGGTTATTTGCCAGTTCTGAACTGCTGCCATGCAGTCAATTTTTTTTTGATTTGTAGCCACTTGATGACACACTTCACTTTGCATTTAATATACAGTGGCATGGGCTTAAATTATTTATGATGGAGAGCATTTGAAAATGTGTGTTTGATGGATATTTAGGAGAGATGCCAGCTGGAGATGCAGTGCAATGCTTCATCAAAGGTAAAAGAAATGTAAAGATCTCACCCACCATCAGTCTTGGTCTCTGGTTGTGAGCAATATCTGTAAAATTTTCTTTTATTTTCCACTGTCAACAGAAAGCACATCAACAAAGTACAAGTTTTAAAAAGACACAAGAAAGTTGTGTAGAAAGTAATCAGTGTTGGAAAATTAATTTAGCATTCAATTTAATTTGTAATTGAATTAAGTCTTAGAATTGTCAGTATTTACCCAAATACTGCCCACACCTAAATTGGTCTGCAACTTGAAACTATTAATCTGTGCAAAGCAAATTAATAACATGCATTAAGGTGGCCCTCGTTAAATTTCTTGTTAAGTCTAACATGTCTGCAAGTTAACATGGTACCCTCGATTTTTCAGGTTTCTGTTTTTCTGTTCTAATCCACTTGACATTTATATTTCTACATCCTTGCAGTCTCTAAATGTATTCTGTCAGCTATGATTCAAAAACTACCATAAACATGTGCCCACTGTTAACACAATTATAACTTTATTCTCCCTGTCCTGCTATTGTTCTTGGATTTCAATTCCCAGAAATAACTGAGAACTATTAAAACCTCCTCTCAGTTAAATTTTGAAGCAAATAATGTGCTTTTGATAAAACCAACCCCAAAGTGACACTGAAGGCAATTTGATGAATTTTACTGTTATTTGCTTTTGACACTGTTTTCCTGGGAAATCACTATACTATTTGACATCCTTTGTTCAGTGGGCTTGTGTAGAACATTTATTAACTGAAACCCTATTGTGAAGCCAGCAGAGGATTTGTCTGTGCTGAGTTTTCATATCTCAGTTTCATGACTCATCATCTCCTTTGGAAATGACCACCTCAAAAAGCTTGTGCATGAAATCTATCAGTAAAACAACCACAACCTCCCATATCTGTGCTAATATTGATTTTATGAATTATCTAAGTGAACCAGAACCTGTGTACACAAAAAATACTTTGCTCAGTATTTTAAAAAAATCATGATTCCCTATGGGATATTGTAAACAATATATGTGGCTTTTTAAACAATCTACTGAATTGTTTTGCTGGATGACTTGGCCAACTTGAGTAAATTATGGGGGCGCAGGGCTGCATCAGGTTTTTTTTCTTCACCTGAGCTGCATCCAGTTTTTTTTTTGGTTGGTTTCCTGCTGCAAAGCCCAAGTGAGATGTCTCACCATATCTTATCAAACTGACCTCACTAACTACCTACCCAACTCTTATGGTGTTCCTCTAGCCCAATTCTGTCCTCACCTTGCCACGTGCCGTTCCCTGAAGAACTTGCCATGCAGCGAATATTCACCAGAAAACCAGCATCCCTGGCACCACACTATATTTAAAAGACTAATGTGATCCTAGATGAGCACTGGCATTCTGAAAGTGCCCTTTTTGGTGATGGATTTTCATCCAGATGATGTCAGAGAGGGGAAAAGTGGCACTGTACTGGACAAGAATCTGAAGGTCTTGGTGGATGGTGCAGTGCAGAAGAGAGACATCCTCTTCCCCAGAGGAAAGGCAGAGGAGGTCACACCACTAGGCTCCGGCAGGCTGGTAAGAGATTGCCACTCAGGCTGCTGCAGTCTTCGTGGTATGGAGGTGTGGCCAGCAGTGCTGCAGAAATGTCAATAATGTCTGCTGTGCCATGTTAAGTATCACACTTTTCTCTCTCTCTGCTACCTGCAACCAAGATTTATACTTCGCCACACTTGGTATTGCTTACTTCATCTTCCCTGACTTGCTCTTTCATTTCCTCCCCCTTCCAGACCCTGGCTTCTGTGCTGCCTGCTGTCTCACACAGGACATTTCACTGCTCTTTGACCACTTAAAACAGCACTAACAGCTGTGCCACCTACTTTCATCTCACTCAATCCCTCCCTTTCTTCTCATTCCAAGAGAAGACAGTCCACAACAGGGCAGAAAGGGCCTGAATCGATGGCAGGTTGCCCTGACAGCAGGCTCCAAACCAGCTGAGGTGAGAATCTATTCCTTTGCAGGTGAAGACTGGGATCGCTCCTGTGGAATGCAAAGACGTCAATGCCCCACTGACCTGAGTAAGCACCGAATTTCATTCTACTGCAGCTCTCTCAGTAACCCCACTGTCAGTCATTCATTGCGTGTCACTCCTCACCAGTGGCTATGATGCCTTTTTTCAATTTTACCTTGTGGCTAACAGTAGAATGTCCACAACACCAGGAGCGAGGCAGGCTGCTCATCCAGATGTTATTCTCTCAATCTCTGAGGAAGAGTTCTGAGGCCTCAGAGGAGATATTGGCAAGTTTGCTGCCTGCACAACATGATAATGGTAGCTGGGTGGGAATATCATCCATTAGAAAGTTTGGGAGCACAATCCAGTAAGCACCTGTCCAAGGAAAAATGGCCCAGGCCTCTGACCCTTGAACAACAGTCACAAGTCCAAGTGCCCACTCCTCCCCAGGCAAGTGAAGATCCTGAGATGTTGGCACTCTGGGATCTTGTCCACCTGCACAAGTGACAGCAGGGGCAGCAGACAAATATGTCAAGCCCAAATGGCCCTCGTTTACCCAGAAGTTGCAGCAATGCAGCTGTACAATGGGGACCCAGTTGCTTCATGCGTTGGATTGTCTGGCTGCCATGGAGGTTCAGGTCCAGGACCCTTGAAGTCTGCCGGAGAGATCCAGAGTTGCACTCCGTTGCCCCAGCCATTTGTCATCAGGATGATGGGGAATCTGGCCCACACTCCAGGTG